AAACAAATAAATAAATCTTTAAAAAAAATCACTATTTTGCAACTCAATATAATAATGGATCCAGCAGTAGTCATTAATAGCTACTAAAACCATCAAATGAGAGTTTAATAGGAATAATGCAGCGATCAGGTTGACAAGATCTAAATGCAAACCATGATTAATGCTAGCATTATTAAAAGTGGGGAACTGGACATAATGTACCCCAGATTCAATGCAATAGAAAGAATACACAGCATCCAATACACTTGCCAAAAAAAGAAGAAAAAAAAAAGGAAAGAAAAAGAAAAAAAAGGACCGATTTAATCAAGACTCTACAGCCAATTATCAGAAAATTTGAAGAATAGGACAATAAGCTAAACAATACCAGAAAAACCAAGTAGCCAAATCTAGAACATGGGACAATCTACCAGACAAATGTTCTCATTTGTTCATAAGTAAATGACATGAAAAAGGAGAGGAATGCAGTGATTGGTGGAGACTGAAATGGACTCAGAAACCTAACAGTCAAATGCAAGGTAAAACTTCATGTAGATCCTGCCTCAACCAACTAACAATAATGACAAAAAATTAGGACAGTCAGGGACATTTGAATATAGATTGTGTACTAAGTAATATAGAAGTATTAGAATTTTAAGTGAGATTATTATCAATGTGCCTTATAGAATGAAAAATTTAAGTGTCATTATCATTTAGAGATATAGTCTCAATTATTTACCAGTCATATTATTTTGCATGTCTGGGGGTCTCTCTAAAAATATTCCAGAAAAAAGAAGGATGAATAGATGAAGGATTAGCAAAACTAATTGCAAAAAGGTTAATTTTTGAAGTTGGGTGATGGGTACACGGGTACGTTACTATTAAAAATGAAGGGGAGGGACGCCTGGGTGGCTCAGTTGGTTAAGCAGCTGCCTTCGGCTCAGGTCATGATCCCAGAGTCCTGGGATCGAGTCCCACATCGGGCTCCTTGCTTGGCGGGGAGCCTGCTTCTCCCTCTACCTCTGCCTGCCATTCTGTCTGCCTGTGCTCACTCTCTCTCCCTCTCTCCCTCTGACAAATAAATTAAAAAAATAAAAAAATAAAAAAAAAAAAATGAAGGGGAAAAAAGCCTGGAAAACATATCAAAACCCACTTGAGTTATTCTGATACTATCTTATCACAGAACTGAATTTTATGCCTAGCCTTAAGTTTAGACTCATTGGAATAGCTTTTTGCTTTCCACTATTGTACAATCCAGTAATCACAGTTTTCCAAATTAGTTAAAACTTTCACCCTCCGGGCACCTGGGTGGCTCAGTGGGTTAAAGCCTCTGCCTTCAGCCCAGGTCATGATCCCAGGATCTCTCTGCTCAGCGGGGAGCCTTCCTCCTCCTCTCTCTCTGTCTGCCTCTCTGCCTACCTGTGATCTCTGTCAAATAAAGTCTTAAAAAAAAAAAAAAAAAACTTTCACCCTCATTATTGCACTGGCCCCAGACAAGAGAACCATCAACTAATTTTATGAAAGAACACAAGAGGCACAGTTACAGCTCTGCCAGCACAGCACTCCTCTTATTCTCTCTCGCGGTGGGGGGAAAAATGAGGTGTACTTTTTTGTTCCTCAAGCAAATTGCAGAATATGGCTTGCTACTCCTTTGCACCTTGCACCACATCTTACACATGCTAAGAACTTAACAACTCTCTGCTGAGATTTTACAACAATTTCTGGGTAACAAGAGAGCTATCCATCCATGTCTTAGAAATCACAAGCAGAACTTCAAACGCATCCACTCAGGCAAGAAATCTTAACTTCAGTATTTTAACCAGTACTCTTAAAATGGATATTTGCATACTTTGCCATCTATAATATACTTCAGCATGTATCTATTAAATTTCTACTTAAACTCTAGGAGTGGCCCTGTTAAAAATGCAGTTGAGGGATGGTTAACTGGTATTATGATCAGGAAACCCATACTCAAGGCAAATTCATGTTATCCATAGGCAGATTCTGTTATCCATAATTTGATCAGCATCCAATGTTTTGCTCAGTATATTAAATATTAGGGACATTATTGGGGAACAGTGGCTCACAGACTAACATAAAATCAAAAAGTTGCTCTTATTGGTGAAATTAGAGTTTCAAGATATATGGATTGTCTAAATTTATTTCCAATCCTTGCATGGGCAGGTTATCTGAATCCATGCTGACCTATAGTTCACAACTTCCACAAAGATGGCACCTGGGGATTAATCCCTTGTTTACACCCTTTCCTTTAGGACTACTGGTTGTCTGATACTGGGCAGAAACATAAGCGAATCCTCTGGAATGCTGCCTTGTCTGCCCCAAGTAAACCCCTCTTACAAGGCAAGTTAAAGAATCTAAAAGGACGGAAAGCTGGGACTGCACTGAACTTACCAACTGAAGTCCTTTGCGCTGGCTTTGCTGAAGAATGTTTCTTTAATGAGTGTCTGAACACGTGTCAGAGTTTAGCCTAACACGTTTCATTATAACCTGGTAATGAGGATGTAAAAGACTGGCTTTCCCGTACCTACTTCAGTATTTGTGACCACTACCTATCTACCAAAAAGGATCTAAGAGTTGAAAATAACAAAGTTAGCTTGGGTCAGTTCATAACATTTGAAACATACAAAGGCATGTTTCTCAAATTTATTTTAAACATTTCACATTAAATGAAATTTAACCATAGTCATTACAGAGCATCACCACAATAGTACACATAAAGAACTTTTAAAATAAAAGACAAAAGAATACAACCTTCAACAAGTTAAATGCCACTTTACCATGTAAACAAAAATAAAACCCTGATGCTAAAAAGATACATATTCAGAGGTAAAATACATTTACAAAACACTTAAACATTAACATAATCCACTAGATCACATTCTTTGCAAGAGAGTACAAATATTAGTACTCTACATCTACAAAATTTCAGAATCCTGTTAAAATCAAAACCATCTCTGGTTTATGATACAGCACAATTCATAAGGCAAAAATAGAGGCATTATCATCCAGTTCTTTAATTTCACTTGTATTTTAAGGCAAACTTGGAACTTTTTGCTTAGTATTTTAAAATAAACGGGACTTACACAGGATAACTTGACAAAATTAACAATAAATTATCTCTAGTTAAATATGCATAATATAAAAGACGTATGGAAAACAATTTTTCTCTCTACAGAGATGTAAACTGGATTTTTATTGACTATATTCACACCAATAAGAAAACTTGTAAACCTATAGTATTTAAAACTTACTATATCTTGCACTCTTTTCCAATATGTATCAACACTGAATCAATATACTGTAAGTGAAAATCCAATATGTATCCAGCCACAGAATAAATGTATTTAATTAAATCATGTCTAATTAAAGTGCTGTTTTACAAAGAAAAAAAAAAGGTTAAGAAGTAGAACTGGATGTTAACTTGACATGTGACATCTTATAATTTCTTAGCTTTCAGACTACAGAGGTTATAGAGGTTATCACAAGTTTATTGAACTTTTAAGCAGTGTATTTATTGTAGAATCTGATTTTCCTGAAAATGAGCACTTAGGTGACAATACCAGAAATCCAACACCAAAACTGAAAACAAAGCATTATATATACATATATTTCCTTCAATGTTAGCCAGAGCCTTGATAACATAGTATGTAATTTTTTAAAGTTTCTATAATTTTATTTTTCTAATAGAAAATATATTAACCAATTCCAGGAAGTTTGGAGTTCTATAAATATTTTTACTATGATTCTTTTTCATGTCAGTAAAACCTAACTGGACACTAAAGGACACAAATGTCTACACATAAATTAGGTCTCTAATCACTTTTGATGATATTGGCTACAAGGAATTAAATTCAAACTTTACCATAATAGTTATTTGGGTACAGAGCTCCCTCACCATACTTTACTCTTTGAATGAAAAGATTTGTATCTTACTTATATTTCTAGCCCTGACAGGATCTGGCACAATATCATGTATACAAAGTAGACCCTCCATAATTTGTCAAGCTCTCAAAATAATTTTTCAAAACCTAATGCCATTTTCCTGTCATTAAATACCACTTCCTATAGTTTAATATTCATTCATATTTGAAACAATGTTAGCAATAACCTATGGACTTACATAAACATCCTTTGGGCTACATTAAAAATCACCTAACTTCTATTACTATATTTAACAAACATTAAATAGCCAAACATTCCTACCAGATTAAGTCTTCATAATTATGGAAGGCAAGTATCTTCCAAGTGATGAGATTAATTTCTATTTCCACTGTCACCTTTTTTCCAAAATATTTCTGGACAATCTTAAATAGCTTTCTCCCCTTTGCCTGAGTATATAAATTATTTCTAGTATGGTGGGAATTTATAATCAAATATTTTGATGTTTTTTAACGTAAGAAACATGTGACTTTAAATACACAATTTGTCAGAAAATATTCATGATGAAACTTCTCACAAATCTGTATGAGAAGGTCTATTGTAAAGTTATCAGTTGTCAGGTTACAATACCTCTGGCTGTTATGAATAGTACCGTAGGTTTAGTAAACCCAAAGTTAGTATTTCTAAAGTTTGGGGTTTCATTTCTTTTTACAGGTTTTTGTAATTTATTCGCTGGTATATGGTTCCTACTATTGCCCAAGATGTTTCACATTTAGTCTTTAGCAGGATAAAGTTTAGATTTTTCCAAAACAACGATCAGTGTAGGCCTTTGGTCTAATTTACCAAGTGATTATATGTTTTATAACAATTTGATAGTGGGGATAATGATAAATGAATAAAACATTGTTAAAATGTATAGTATAGATCTGTTTACAATTAAAATAGATTTTTACAGTCTTTCCAATTCCTTTATCTTTGGGGGAGAGAAGATTAAAAATAGAATTAATGCATTTAACAATTTGACATAAACGAAAAAAAAAAACCGAGTTGAAGACTTAAAATTAAGTATGTAATGAAATCTATTTTAAATTGCTTTCCTTTAAACTAATAAGATACTACACTTGATCTTAGCCAAAAGGCCGAGAAGTGATTAAATTGCTTTTCTTTAAATAAAGTCTAGCCCAATCACAATAGTGCACCTTGTTTCTATTCAATAGGTTTATTCAAATCAATTAAAAAGTTATTGCTATATATCATTATGTTATTCAAACAAGCAACATAGAAAATACTCAGCCTGTCAATGTTATTAGTAGCTCCTGTTAAGTTCTTATTAGGAAGAGACTAAAAATCACTTGCAAGGTTTTATAATCTGTGCAAATATTCATAAAGCATACTACTTACATGATTAAAGATGACTTTACATAGTTTTGTACTATATTTTAAATCTACACTGGCAGTTTATGGAAGAACAAGAAAAACTGCAAATTGCCAGGCTACACATAGTAACATAGATGCTAAATGAACAAACCTATGTTTTATAATTACAAATGGCTTCTTAACAACAGCTTGGAATATTATGGCACTTAAGAATGCAGTATGAATTTTTTCTTAGGAAACAAATATACACTGGTTTTGCGGAGACTATAGAGATAATAAGCAGGTTTAAAAAAAATCAAAGAAAAGAAAATTACACAACTACAGTACCAAAAATTATAAGTACCGATATCCTAATAAAATGCAAAGTAATATATTCAAGACTAACAGATATTTTCTAAAACATGCTAAACAAAATGAGCTGACCACTTATTTTAAATAAGCTGTCACTGGCTATAGCAAACAGTCTTGCTTGTTTCTTTAGTCAAAGTAGAACCAAATTTAGAACGATTACTCAAGTAAACATTGAGTTCCAGTTTTCCTCAGTAACTTTAAAATATCCAATTACCTAAGAAGTGTACAAAGTAATGCATAACTGCCTAGTGCTTTATATTTAATGCATATATTTGTCTTTAAAAAGGACATATATCTAGCACTAGAAGAAGATAAAAAATGCATCTTTTTAAAAATCACTACTCAAGAACCATGAAAAATATAACATGGGCCATTTAGATGATTTTTGAATGTTAAAATTAGCATAATCACTAACATTTTTAATAAGCACAAACCATGCCAGTAAAAATGAAAAAAAAATACTATTAAAACATGTCATGCATATCTCATACTGAACATCCAAAAGAACATTATTATAGCCTTGTTACAGATCCTACAGTTAGCACCATTTTTATATCTGAACACTGTGAAAAAGCAACTAAGGGTCTTAAAAAACTAAAATTATTATAAGGATATGTAGAAAAAATCAGTATTACTAAGGGTGGTACTAAACATTTGTCAAATATTTACATCAACACTGGGAATCCACTGTACTATGAAAAAAATAAAACTGAAACTGATATGCTTAACTTTCTATCCATGCTTAGCATAGCACAGGTAAGTAACTAAATTCATCCAGCATTAACCTGCCCTATAAAAAAGGCATAAACAGGAAATATCTGGCTTCTTAATATAAGCCTCCAAAAAATGATGACAGTAAAAGCATTTGTTTTGCAAACTTATTACATCTCCAGCCCTAAAGCCATTTCGTAGGAAGAATATCCAGGTGACTCACTACGGTATATAATTTACAATCCTTAAAAGTACCCCCCTCAAAAAAGCAGCCCTTTATTTGTTTAAAATGTGAAGCATATGAATTTATATCCAACAGACAGTATCAGCATTCTGTCTAGCCTTTCAATACACTCCCACATCTAAGCATCTCTCATCGTAGTAAATCATGGTGCATATATTAAGAAAGAAGGAGAGCTAATTTTTTTTAAAGCAGCAAGATTTTCTCCACATGTACACTAATGAACATAAAACTACTCTATGCCAGTATTAGGGGAAAAAGTGCACAATTAAATTGGCAAGATCTTTCCTTTTTTTTTTTTTTTTTGATTATTGATTCACTGTATAATCAAGAGCAACCAAAGCTACTTGTCAATTCAAAGTACCCAACAGAACCTTGAGTCTTCATGCCATTTCAAGTTAAAAAGAAAGTAATGTAGCTTTTGGATTTCAGAAAATGGGGCATCCTTTCATGTGGCACAAGGTTCATCACCACACGATTCCCACCAGTCCACACTTGTCAAAGTGCAGTTAATCCGAAGTTGCAGCGACAGTATATCATGCCAGCTGAATCCAGCCACGTATCTGAGATAGGGTCATATTTCTGCACGGTATTCAGATAGGAAGACCCTGAGTGACCACCAACTACATAAAGGTAGTTATCAACTACTGCAGCACCAACCCCTAGGAAAAGTGGGTAAAAATAGGAAAAAACATGTTAACCATGAAGTTGACTTCTCCCTAAAAATAAATTTGTATTTTAATGTTTTCTTAAAATACATTTCAATAATCTACAGTTAATTAAACAAGCAACATCACCATACATACTTACTGGGGGAAAAAAAAAACCCTAACATGAAAGCAAGAGTTGAAGTCTTCCTTCATCTCTCCTTCCCAATCCTACTCTCCTTCTCCTCTACCACAGAAAAATACCAAGAATGTAGTATATGTCTTTCCATATGCTTACTTTTGTTTATATTTACATATTTTCAACTTTCAACAGATCATTCATCTTTATCAGGTTTTTAAGTATGTTGAAAATCTGAAACATATCTTGAACCATACAACTTATGCTTTTAAAAATTGTACTGTATATACTGTTATACACACTTCTAAAGAGAACAAGACTACCCAATGTTTTTTCACATTCTTGTTATTTTACGACTTTCCCTCTTATGCAAGAAATATCCCTAAAGCATTTCCATCAACTTAAAACCTTCCCCTTAAAATAATGTGTTATGAGTTTGGGTTCAAAGGTAATAATTTCTATTCTTCAAAGACGTTTTTGTTTTTCTCTGGGAACCCTGAAATCCAACCTTTCCTATATCTCCAAACACCCTCTGAATGTGAGAGTATTTGAAAGGTAAACTACAGACTGATGTACAAAAAAAAAAAAAAAAAAAAAGAACAATCTAGATTCTGTGTGAATGTGTAACATATAAAAAGATGACATTTGCTATATGGACAGAAGAGCTTCTGTAAGATACATTCTATTCCCACCATTTCTAAAAATGTGTTCTCCCAACTTTAAGAAAATGATAATATGCACACTGGCATATTAAAATCACAGTATAGAAATCTGTGTAGTTTTGTCAAATCAGCTGTCTCTCAAGTGTAGCACAATAAAGTTTTTTGTTTTGTTTTGTTTTGCTGGACAAGTAATACTCTTACTATTATATTCCATGGTACTACTATTCCAAGAATATCACTATAAGAAATATCATCATCTATGTTTAGATATTATTTAGTTATTATTACCTGTTCTGGGTTCTTTCATTGGTCTACATACAGTCCACTGATTCTGATGAGGGTCATATCTTTCAATGCTTGACAAATGTGAGACACCATTATGTCCACCCACCACAAAAATAAAGCCTAGCATGACACCCACACCAAAGTGAATCCTTTTATCTGCCATAGATGCAACCATCTCCCAGGAGTCCTTACTTGGGTCATAACGCTCCACACTGCAAATATTCACAAAAGAAAGAATTAATTTGCATATTCCTTGTGCCATTTCTTCCTACCAAAGCAAAACTAAAACCTACCATAGTTTTAGAAGTTCCAACAGACAGATATAAAACAAGAGTAGTTTGTTCCAGATGTTTACATTTTGCTGGTAAAGCCACAAGATAAAAGCTTACCTTAGTAAACTGCAAGCAATAATACTCATATGCTATTCTGTTATATCATACAAGCAGCAGGGTATACTAAGGGCATAACGCTTCTGAAATCAGGAAACCTGGGTTCAAGTACTAATGCTGTATACTTAGAGTTGAATGAACCCTAGCCCTAACACTACGGGTATGTGTAATCCTAGATAAGCCCCTTCTGCTCACCTGAAAAAATGGCAATAACTTAACCTGAAAGGATTCATATAAAAATGAAGTCAAATGAGTATGCATGTTCTGAAAGAACTCTGAAAATCACAAATTAAATATAAATGTTTTCCAAGGACAGTAAGGATCTTCTACATAGCTAAGGAAAAGGGAAGATGAAAACAAGTAAAGGAAAGGAAATTTTTTATCTTATAGAAGTTGTGGTGGTTTACTGTAAAGCAAACACTGCAGATTACGTAACACAAACTGGCCAATCATAATAATCTCAGAGTGATTTAGGAGAATTCAGGGGTTTAAGTCAAGTCTGCATTCCAGAGAACACCTGGCATTTCCAAGCTGCATTATGGATATCCAAAGCAGATGAGAATTTCCGAAAAAGCTTCCCTAGAAAATCCCAGAGGGCCTTTATATCTCTATTTTGACATGAGTGGGCACAAAGGCAGGCTTGCTGAGCTTGTTCTGGTCCTAACCTAACTTCTCAAAAAAGCCTGAAGCAGGGGCGCCTGGGTGGCTCAGTGGGTTAGGGCCTCTGCCTTAGGCTCAGGTCATGGTCCCAGGGTCCCAGGGTCCTGGGATCGAGCCCCATATCGGGCTCTCTGCTCAGTAGGGAGCCTGCTTCCTCCTCTCTCTCTCTGCCTGCCACTCTGCCTACTTGTGATCTCTGTCTGTCAAAAAAATAATAAAAGTCTTTAAAAAAAAAAAAAAAAAAAAAAAAAGCCTGAAGCAGTTGAGAGTCAGTAGCATAATTCTGGAGTTCAGAGCAGAGACTAGACTGTAAACTAGACCAGAATATAGACAAAACTATAAATATTCCTGAAAGGACACTGGGATAAAAGCCATTAGAGCCAAATTACTGGACCAGAAGAGTTGATAAACTTTAGCAAGAACTTAAACTTCAAGAGCATTATCTCCCAAAAGAAATACTCAATTTTTATCTTATAAATTTCTGCCAGCACATTTTCAAAGAATAAAAATGCATGGCTCTGCCCCAAATACTTTTCCTTCAACTAAGGAGCAATAAAAAGGAGGAATACTTTAGCTTATAAAGAAATAAAAATTTATAGATGAAATGCTATTGTGCTCTTGCCTTCTCACTTAACAAATCACAATATACTCTTCCATTAAATGTTCACAATCAATAAAAGACACATCACTTTAGTTACTATTAGAGAAAATCTTTGGAACAGCAATTTCAACAAAGGCTCAGAATTATGATTAATTTTCCATATAAGCAAATCACTTTATGCTTTTATTTTTCTCATATATTTTTCTCCTTTATTCAGAAAATGCTACAAAATGCAGAAACCTCAAATTCAGACTCCAGCAGAACTCAGGTATACAATGATACACGCATTATTATAGAATAAGAATCCAAAAAGGAATATTTAAATAAGGCTTTATGTTTATGATGCATAATATATAAGCATATAGGAATTACATTTTTCACTTTTTAGTCTACTAAGCAATGCAGTGACAGACCATTTATAAACACACACACACCCATATTTATATAAATTCGCCACCCAAAATCTAAAGTTGTCTAACTTCATTTTATAATCAGATCTCTGAATTTTAAGATCTAAACCAATTATATTAAATGAATGAATTTAAAATTTTATTAAGAGGAATCTTATTTTTAGCTATGTATTAAATCCTCATATAAAACAATTACAATTACACACATAGAGCAGATTAAATTTCAAATGCCTAACAATATTACTTTAAAAACTAAGAAGGGAAGTTCATTCACACATACCAGTTGTGTAAGAATTATTGTTAATGAGACTTTAAAAATCTACAAGCATATACAACTTCATTAAGTTAAATACCTGTTCATGTGGGCAGGACCATACCCACCAATGGCATATATCATTCCATCCAACACGGCTGCAGCAAAACAGCTTCTTGTTGTAGTCATTGGTGCCACAGGTTGCCATTTTCTTATTTTAGGAATATATTTCTCTACAGATTGTAAATAAGATTGTCCATCATAACCACCTAAAGCATAAAGTTCTCCTGCAAGTACTACTACTCCAAGGGTACTTCGGCTTTCATTCATTCTCTCAAGAGAAGTCCAGGTATTTGTATCAGGATTCCAGCATTCTACTGAATTTTCATGCTTTCTGATAGTGATGCCAGGACGCACGTTAGTTTCAATACCACCTATAACATACACTTTTTGGTCTAAAACACATATTCCAAATTCATAGCGAGGAATGTTTAGGGGTGCCAAACCAATCCAAGAGTCATTCTGAGGAAAGTACATCTCCACACTGAAGAATAAGCAGAAAAAATTAAAATTTAAAAATCAAAATGGCCCCAAACAAAAATGTTTAATCTCCTTAGTAATCAGCGACATGCCAATTAAAACCACAACAAGCCATAACATACTTTCTAGACTGGCAAAAATTTAAAGTCAGATGGTAACAGCTGTTGGCAAGAATGTGAGCAAGAAACGCATACTCTATTGGTGGGAGCGCAAACTGGTACAAACTACGCTGGAAAACAATTTTACATAATCTGGTAAAACTGAAGGTACACAAATATTCTGATTCGGCAATTTCGTTCACGTGTATCTACACTACTGAATGCCCATTAAAGTCAGTTTTGCACCAGGACATACATACAGCAATGTTTATAGCAGCACAGCACAATCACCCATCAAAAGGAGAATGGATAAATAAGATGTGGTATATCACCCTAAACTGAGCAATTCCATTCCTAGATATGTATCCAAAGGAAAAGCACACGTGTTTATGCATGATGTTCACAGCAGCATTATTTGTAACAGTCAAAAACTGGAAAGAGTTCCAAGGTTCATCAACTATAAAATAAATAAATAAAATGTGGCATATCAGAGAATACAGCAATGAAAATAAATTACAGCTACATGTAACAGGAATGAATCTTTTTCCTTTAACAGAAATGAATCTTACACCTATAATGCCAAGGGAAAGAGGCCCAAATCAAAAGAATACATTCTGTATAGTTTATTTATACCAAGTCCAAAGACATTTCTAATCTCTGGATTAGAAATGAGGATAGTGGTTACCTTCGGTAGGGAGGGAACTCCAGAGTGGTTTCTGGGTGTTGGTCATGTACTACTTCTTGAACTGGTTTGTTAATATTCACTTTGTGATAATTCACTGACCTGTACACTTGGGATTTATGCATTCTTCTGTATGTGTGTAACACTTTAATTAATTCTTATAATTAACATATTCATTGTAAAAAGAAAGTATTATATTATACCCATATACTACAATATCATATACCAATGAAACTAAATGAACTATTGTTTCATGCAATCTCACAGATAAAATTCACAAACGTATTTATTGTTCAGTAAGAAAACACATCCCTGAAGAATATATGTAGCATTACTGTATTTATATAAAAAAAAGTAAAACCTAATGCTATATTGGGGCACATAAATATGAGGCAAAATTACAATGAAAAGCAAAGAAATAACATGCAGAAAATTCAGAATAGTGGTCACTTCTAGGGGAGGAAAGGAGATGCATCAAGGAGGGACACAAGGGAATTTAAAGGTATTGTTTACTTTTTAAGCTGGTTGATAAGTAATTGGATTTTCTTCTTTATGCCTTGCATGCAAACTATATATGGTTTCTTGAAAGTATTCATACTTCATTTCAATGTCTCCAAACTCAGTTGTGCAATAACATAAAATATATATTCTCTATTCAGTATGATTAAAGAACATTCATTCATTCAGTAGTTACTGAGTGCCTATATACAGTTTTGTTATACTGCTTGTTTTAAAACGTGAATTTGTTCTGATGAAAATGATACATCAGGGAATTATTTGACCTTCATGAAAGCAGTTTGAGTGAGGTGGTAGGGACAAATCTTGACTGGAGTGGTTCAAGAAAGAATAGGAGATGAGGGAAAACAGTGGATATCGACTGTTCCAAAGACTTTAAGGATTAAAACAGATGAGACCAGATATAAGGATAAGCAGAGAAAGACCACAGCCTCCAGGGAAGATTGGTTTAATCTGGGAGCCTAAACCAGAACATGTTTGCATGCTAATGGCAATGATGTAGTACAGTGGGGGAAGGTGATGTAAGACAGATATGCGATAAATTCAAGAGCAGAGCCCTTGTGCAGAGGAGAGGAAATGGAAGTTAGTAAGTAGAGAAATGGAGGGACTGGTCTCAGATACAAATAACTTGGTGGATTTGGAGATCAGAAGACAAGATAGTACTCCTCGGTTTGCTTCTATCTTCTGAGAGAGTAAGAGATAGTCATTAGCTGAGAGCTGAAAGGTGAGGGTTGGACGGGGTTGGATGTCCTTATGGAGAGAAAAGGTATACAACAGTACTTCAAGGAAGTGGAGAGTAAATTACTTAGGGAAATGAAAGGGGTTGCCAACAGTGCTAGGTGTCCTAAATGAGATCACTTAAGATGGGTGTGTGCGTTTCTCTAGCCACATATTGCTGCTCAGGTGCAGCCATGGCATAAGTGGAGAATGGATTCTAACTAGAAGAGTATGATTGAAGAAGGGCAAGGGAGCCATGAGTATATTCAATGGAATGATAACAATGATGTTCGTGGAATCTAAGCTGAGTAAGGAGTGAAAGTGAGGACATGTAGTAATCAGTGAGCAGTTAAGTTTTCTGAATATAGGGCCAAAGGATTAAAAATCTTGAAGGGAACAAAGAATGACTGCAGATGTACTGAAATAAATAAGCTCACAAGAAAGGACATGGTAGTCAGAGAACGGAATGTATGTAACCAAGATTTCTGAAGTTTGAAGTCACTGGTAATGGCAAAATTGTAGTATGATCATGAGAATAAATCATGAGAATAGTTCCTGAGGTAAGGCAAAAAAGACTGTTAGAAGTGAGATCAAGAAGAGAGGCAAAGTTGTTGTATAACTGTGGATCATACTATGGAGATGTTGAAATCAGAAAGAATAACTCTATACAGAATGATGAGAAAGACAGTAAGCCAGTGAATAAATCTTCAGTGAACAAAGTTACTAAAGGGGTTGCAGATGTTGGCAACATGAAGGTGTATCAAATGATACAGAATGATGAGAAATATAGTAAGCCAGTTATAAAGATCTTCAGTAAATAAAGTTACTAAAGGGGTTGCAGATGTTGGCAACATGAAGGTGTATCAAATGATACAGCCCTGATGGCAAATGCTTGGAATGAATTGAGATTTTGGAGAAAGGGGAGATAAAAAAAATCTAGGAAGTAGATATGAGGAACAAAGAAAACACTTACCAACCTTTAGGACCTATGATACATGAGGTATGCGGAAACAAAACAAAACAAAACAGGTTTGAGAGGGATTTGGTAAAAACAGTATCTTTAAACATCAGTCATATTTCATTAGACCAACTAGTTAAAAATAAAGGGGATTTTTTTTAATGATTGGATATAAATTCTACAAGACATGGCAGACAGATTTGGGGAGTCAAAAAGAAAAGGACTGGGCGATTAAGTTAAATTAGATGATATATAGGACCATAAAATAACAGTGTAATAAAAAAACAATACATTTGGGTTATGTCCCAGGTTCCTAGCACAGAGCTCCTAAACTTCTTGGAAATTTCCTGAGTGACAGGAAGAGCTTTTGTTATTTATAATGATCTCTTTTCAATTACACTTCAGTTTATGCTACTGAAGTGACTACAAGTGGCCACCTAGATAGCTTCAGCATGGGGGCCAGAAACCAGAGGTGGCAATAATGTGATTAACAGTCTGAGGTTGAGCTCAATCACCAATGGCCAATGATTTAATCAATCATACCCTCACAATGAAATCGCCATAAAACTCCCTCCCTAAACAATGGGGTTTAGAGAGCTTCTAGGCTGGTAACACACTGAGATGCTAGGAGTGGGTGGCATACCAGAGAGGGCATGGAAGCTCTGTCCCTTTCCTCCCCACACCCTGCTCAATGTATCTCTTCCATTTGATTGTTCCTCAGTTGTATCCTTTGTAACAGACTGGTAGGTAATGCACTTTCCTGAGTCCTATGAGTCATTCTAGCAAACTTGAGCAGGGGCTATTGTGGGAACCCCTGAACTTTCACTCTTCTAGACAGAAATGCAGGTAACGTGAGCACCCCATTTGTGGACAGCATCTTAAGTGGGGATAGTCTTCTGGGACTAAGCCCTTAAGCAGTGGGGTCTGAGCTAACTCTGGATACTGTCAGATTCCTGGACATGCATTTAGTGTTGGAGAAATGGAGAACTGATTGGTATGAGAAAAAAAAACCTCTCAATGATAAGAGTTCAGCTATGATAATGGACTTTCAGAGGTGATTTAGGTAAACCAAGATACAAGATATAAAGGTTCTAGTCCTTATGGTTTTTGAAGGCAAATGGATAATTATTTTTCTTGGAATCTGACCTGTGACTCAGAGCACTGAGGTGAGTGGTGTCATGTGTGGTGTGGCTCAAAGTCCATTTAACATTAAGTGTATTTGCATAATTATTCAAAATCACTTCGAATGTACTGCCATCCTTATGACTCCCTATGTGTAAACAGAAACAATATTCAGAGCTTCCTGAAATTCCTTAAGCCACCTACCCAATCCTCACTTCCCTCTTTTGCATACCTCCTTCCTTTTCTAAAGGGAAAAGTGAGGCTATTGGATAGTATCTATCTTGAACTCCTTCTCCCACCCCTCCCTACGCCAGCAAACCTATCCTCATATTCTGGTTTTGGGACATAAAGAGTCCTTCTTCCTCATATGTAAAACCTTCCACCTTTGGGGCACCTGGGTGGCTCCATTGGTTAAGCATTCTGCCTTTGGCTCAGGTCATGATCCCAGGGTCTTGGGATCAAGTCCCACTTCTAGCTCCTTGCTCAGCAGGAAGCCTGCTTCTCCTTCTACCTGCTGTTCCCCATGCTTGTGCATTCTTACTCTCTGACAAATAAGTAAATAAAATATTTAAAAACAAACAAACAAAAAAATGATTCTACCTCTACTTTTGATACCAACCCCTTACAATTTCCTCTAAAATCTTGCCGTATCAATGACCATTCCTCTATCTTGTACCTTTACCTTATTCTTCTTTACCAGCATCTGATAATAAACATACTCCTGTCTCTCTCTCAAGAACAAAATAAACAAAACTATCATTTTGCCTTACCTCTCTCCTCATCTCAGCGAAGATTCTTAGAAGTCTTCACAGTTTATTTCCTTATTTTTTATACCCATCTCAATCTGCTATAATATATCCACAGCATTCCTAAAATTCTGCTGAAATTACTTCACCAAAAGTCATTAATGATCTCCATATAGCCAAATTCAAGAGCCACTCTTCTATCTTTATCTTTCTGGAACATTCCTTAGCCATTTTACATTGTTAATCACACTTCTTCCTTCTTGACACATTTAAATTGCTTGGCTTTCATGACACTATTCTCTCTTGATTCTCCTACTTCTGAGATTGTTCTTACAGCCTTCTTCTTGAACATTAATGTTCCCCAGAGGTTCATTTATGAACCAATCTTTTTTTTCCTTTCTATATGTTCTCAGTGGGTAGAAAGAAGGGACATTTAAACCAGTCAAGAAGTCCAGAAGACTTCATGGTTTTAAATTTATACCTCCAAATGATATTACATGCCAATAAGTTCCAAATATCCAGCTTTGATCTATTCGTTGAGCTTTTGCAATCATTTCCAGCTAGTGAGTCATCCTTCACTCGGATATGTAATAGGCATTTCAAACTCAGTATGTCCAAAACAGAACACGCTACCTTCCCCTTTAAAATGGCTCCTCCTCCTATATTCTCTCTCACGGTATATAAGATTCATCCAGTATCTAACCAAGAAATCTAACTCATTTTTGATTCTTCCCTCTCACCATCCCCCCATGTCCATTCACTAATTCCTGTCCATTTGCTCTCTTAAAACATTTCTTAAATTAATACCCCCTTCTCTATCTTTGCTACTTCCACTTTGGACCTCATAATCTCTGGCCTATACTTTTATAATAGTCTCTTTCCTAATGACTCAGATACTAATTCTGGCCCCTCAATCTTTCTCCATAAGGCAGCCAAGGATGATCTAATATATGAATGTGATCATTTCACTATCCTCCTTAAAATTGTTTTTGGACCCACATAAGAAAAATCCTCTTCGGGGTGCCTGGGTGGCTCAGTGGGTTAAAGCCTCTGCCTTCGGCTCAGGTCATGATCCCAGAGTCCTGGGATCGAGCCCCGCATCGGGCTCTCTGCTCAGCGGGGAGCCTGCTTTCTCCTCTCTCTCCCTCTGCCTGCCTCTCTGCCTACTTGTGATCTCTGTCTGTCAAATAAATAAATAAAAAATCTTTAAAAAAAAAATCCTCTTCATCATGGCACGGGATACCTTCTTTAACTTGGCCCATACTGATAACAGCCTACCCCTTACTGTTTAGATCTTTGAATCTTATTTTATTTTTAACTTGCATTTTCCTTTTCTTCCCTTAAGATTTTATTTTATGTAATCTCTATACCCAACGTGGGGCTCAAACTTACAACCCTGAGATCAAGAGTCGCATGCTCCACCAACTGAGCCAAACAGGAGCCCTTGATCTTTGAACTTTATACTCTGGAATACCAAACAGCTTTTAATCTTCTGCACATGCTATACTGTATCATTCCATTGTGTCTTTGTGCACTTCCTGTGACCTTTTGCTTGGGTCTTGCTTAGCCTTCAACACTCAGCTTGGGCATTAACAATATCTTCCTTAAATCTCCTAAATGGGATAAATGCCTTTCCTTAATACTTCCATGGTATTATCTTTATCACTGCATTAATACCACATAATTATCTATTTAAATATCTGCCTCCTTAACTAAGTTATAAATTTGTTAAAGAACCATTATCCAGCATAGTGTGTCTGATGCACAGGTGTTAAATATTTTTTATAGAGTCAAATTGAATAATTTCTTAGATTGATTCCAATTTTTCCATAGTTATAAATAATACTGCAATAAATGGCTTTGTGGCCATTTGTTATAACTATAATAAACGGCAAATGACATTTAAAAATTTTTTTTTTCCTGGAGTGGGTGGTTCAGTCAGTTAAGCATCCGACTTTTGATCTCAGTACAGTCTTGATCTCAAGGTCATGAGTTCAAGTCCAGAACTGGTTTCCACGCTGGGTGTGGAGTCTACTTAAAAAAAGTTTTTTTTTTTTCCTTATAACAGATGTTAGATGAAAGATTACTGGATCTCAACATATGAACAGTTCTTATAACTTTTTAATAATTTATGTATGTTATCTTTAATACTTGAGACCAAGAGGCAACTGGTCAAGAATTTTTACCATGTAAATTCACATTTGGAATTTTTCTCATGACATTTTACTAATATGCTTTACTTTATGCCAATAATTAGTGCCCTTAAAAATAAGAATTAATAATCAAGTTTTGTAGTTACCATAACTAATATTCTACCTATAGACTGGTCTCAATGATACTAGGTTTAGACTATGTAATTAGTTTAATTTAGACAATTAAAATGTAACTGAGACTTTCTAAAAGATACAGATATGTCAGTTGACACTGCTAGAACATCAGTACCTTTCTACCATTTGAGGGGGTAAAAGCAATCTACTAAATTTTTGAAAATTGCCAGAAAGAAATCACAGTATTAAATAAACTTATCAAACATGGAAGTTTTCATGAAGCATTCCCATTCAAGGGTAAAGCAAAGGTAACATCCAGCTATCTTTTCAACATATAAAAGTTACTTGTATAATGCTGCAAATCAGGGACTGGCAAACTATGGCTAAGAACCAAATTCAGTCCACTAGGGACTTTTGTAAATAAAGTTTTGTTGGAATCCAGTCATCTCATTTTTTTACATATTGTCTATGGCTGCTGTCACACTACAACGGTAGAGCTGAGTAGTCATAAGAGAACCATATGGCCACAAAGTCTAAAATATTTACTATCTGGCTCTATACAGAAAGAGTCTGATAACTCCTACTGCAGATTATTAGAAAAGAGACAACTCTTTACTATTGTCATTAAAAAACGTTTATACTGAAGAAAATAAATATGTATGTCCATGATTTGTATTCAGTATCCTACTTTTTCTTATTTCTTTGGTGATTCTTCTACTTGATGGTATTCATTCAAACCACTTCTGTCCCCAGTCTGCCCTCATCAAAGATTTCAAGCTCTCCTTTTTGGTATCTTCTGTTTATAGTTAGCAATAATAAATCTCTACTGAGCTGGTCAAATAATAATGTAAACAGTTTCACAAATTAAAAGAAAAAAAGACATAAAATGGTAGAGAAGTAACAAAAATTCATAGTTTGTGCATGGGGGAACTGGGGGAAGGTTGTTAATAACTGAGAGTGTTGAAAGGAATGAATGACAATGTGATTAAAACAACCAGGTAAGCGTTTTAGGAAGAGTAAAAGAAAAAAACAAAAAAATAAATAAAGAAAGTAAATAGTAAAATCAAATTATTTAAGGAATAGAGAAAATTAGCACACTTAAAAAGTATAAAATCTTTTAGCACCACTCCTTTAAGAAAGCCTTCTATTTACCTATCCAAACAGGCAAATAGTCCAGATTTTCCTCCTACAGCACAAAGTACTTTGGGAGCACAGCGAGGTCGTGTCATCAGGACAGTCTGATGAGAGAGTCTATGTTCAGGCATAAAGTGGTACTTTAGGGCTTCATTCAAAAGATGTTTACAAGTACGATCATCACGAATAAGATGATTTGCTTCATAAAGTCTAGTGAGAAACTTAACACTCAGCAATGGTAATCTCACACTATTAAGTAGCTGTGCTAAGTATTTCTGACGTTCTTGTACATCGTACTTGATCCAAGACTCAAGTGCATAAAAAACAGTCTCTTCGGTAGCTACATTCAAACAGTCATTGGAAACAATTTCATCCAAATCAGCATGTGTAAGTTCAAAAAACTCTTCAGTCTGGCAAACAGCTTCAAAATTCTGGCATATGTATTTAGTAGCTGCCAAATAAAGGTCATGACAACCGTATGTCTCTGCAAAACGAGAAATTCCGATACAATTACCAGGATCAAGCTGGCTTTCAAGAAATGCACAACATTCCTTCAGGACAAGTTTTATCTGGAGTAGGTTTGCTGCTGGAAGGAGAGATTCAACTGTGTCCTGTGAAATAAAAACAGTTCCTGTATAGGCATACTCCACAATGGCCTGGAGAGCAGTTTCATCAATGCACTGAAACTCAACCTCACTGTTCTCTTTTTCAGAAAGGTTTCCAGTGAACATAGCTTTGAAATATGGACTGATGCTGGCAAGTACCACTTTGTGAGCATGGATTTTAACATCACCAACACGAAGAATGATGTCACAGAGCTCGTGATGTTGACGAAGAAGATTCAAGCCCTGCAGAAGTTGTTCAGAATGCAAGTGGGTTAAGTTAGCAAGCATGTAGGTTGGGGATGTGTGGTCCATCTGCAGAAAAAGAAAAAGCACAGTTACTTCAAAATAATCTTGACCGTATGACTCCCTTTTCAAATAGTACAAAATAAATGAAATTTGTTGTTTATTGGCCTGTTTGTTGGTTTTTAAATACTTTACACTAAATACTAGACCGAGACTTTTAGCAATCACATAATTAACAATCATATAATTCAATTCCTATATTATAGATACAAGGAAACAAAGGCCCAAAGGCCCAATGGCCACAAAAGTGATATGCCCCAAACCACAAATGTCTCCTGACAATGGACTTTTGGACTAGAACTCTACCAACTCTTCTGTTTCCCTTCATTAAATTCAAGTCTGAGTTAACACTGAAACAAAATGGAAATGTGAAAAAAATTTTGCCTAAAGGAAAATGAGTTTTGAAAGAATGCTAAAAATTCTTTGGCTATTTTCTCAATAATAACATCAATGCCTGCCAAAAGATGCTTTACTTGGAAAGAAATTTCATATTAACTCACACACTTTACCCAAAGACTTAGTAATTACTTTAATAAAGGGTGCTGAATTTAACAAAAGTATTACTATCAACAAATTCAACGACAAACAAAAAATTCATGTGAACACAATCTGATGCTCTATAATTGAGGGCAGTTAGACTCACTTACTCATCTAGACATTATCTATTCAACTCTTCAACATAACTTCAGATTATAGTCAACCAATCTATTTTGTCACTTCATACATCTGAAGATGAAAAAGAATAAAAAATAGAAGAAAAGAGATGAGAGAAAAAAAAGAAGAAAAGGAAGGAACAGGAATTGTGGTAGGCTGAATAATGGCTCCCCCCCAAAAAATGTCATTAAAACAAAAAACTTCTGCTCTGAGAAAGACAATGTCAAGAGAACAAGAGGACAAAACATGCCTTGGGAGGAAATATTTTCAAAAGACACATTTGATAAAGAACTCTTATTCAATGGATACAGAAGATGTGGTATATATATATATAATGGACAGTACTCAGCCATCAAAAAGAATGAAATTTTGTCCTTTGCAATGATGTGGATGGAACTAGAGAGTATTATGCTAAGCAAAATAAGTCAGTCAGAGGTTTCATTTGTATGCAGAATTTAAGAAACAAAACAGATGAACATAGGGGAAGGGAAGGAAAAATAAAATAATATGAAAATAGAGGGGCAAACCATAAGAGACGGTGAACTCTAGGAAACAAAATAAGGGTCGCTGAAGGGGAGCTAGTTGAAGGGAAGGGGTAATTGCGTGATGGGCCTTAAGGAGGGAACTTGATGTAATGAGGACTGGGTGTTATATGCATCTGATGAATCACTAAATTCTACCTCTGAAATGAATAATACAGTATATGTTAACCTAAATTGAATTTAAATAAAGAATTTTTAGAAAAAGAACTGTTATTCAGAAAAAATTACTCAAAATTCAACAATATAAAAATGAACAACCTGGGGCACCTGGGTGGCTCAGTCATTAAGCACCTGCCTTCAGCTCAGGTCATGATCCCAGGGTCCTGGGATTGAGCCCCATGTCGGGCTCCTTGCTCTACAGGATGCCTGCTTCTCTCTCTCCCACTCCCATTGCTTGTGTTCCCTTTCTAGCTGTCTCTCTCTGTTAAATAAATAAAATCTTTTAAAAAAAGAACAACCTGATTAAATAGCAATCATATAGTGACAGACACTTATATTAAACTAAGTTTTGTATATTCAAGCCTGATTAAAAAACATCTAACCAGAGAAGATAAACAGATGGCAAGAAGCATAAGAAAAGATGTTAGAGAGAACTGCATATTAAAACAAGAATGAGATTCTACTTCACACCTATTAGAATGGTCAAAATCCATAACACTGTGGATACAAATTCCTGGAGAGAATACGGGGCAATAGGAACTATCATTATGGCTTGTGGGAATGCAAAATGGTACAGCTACTTTAGAAGACACTTCGATGGCTTCTTATAAAACTAAACATACTCTTACCATACAATCCAGCCACTGCCCTCTTTGTTGTTTATTCAAATGAACTGAAAACTTATGTCCACACGAAAACTGTACATGTATGCTAATGGCAGCTTTATTCATAAGTGCTAACACTTGGAAACAACCAGGATGTCCTTCAGTTTGTGAATGGATAAATTGTGGTACATCAAACAATGGGATATTATTCAGTGCCCAAAGAAATGCTTCCTATCAAGCCATGAAAAAAAAAAAAAAAAAAAAAGAAAACCTAAATGCATCTTGCCAAGTGAAAGAAGCCAATCTGAAAGGGCCCCATACTGCATAATTCCAATTATATGACATTCTGGAAAGGGCAAAACTATGGAGATGATAAAAAGATCAATGACTACTAGAGGTTAGAAAGAAGGGAGGGATGAATAGGTGAAGCACGTAGGATTTTTTAGGGCAGTGAAATTACTCTGTGTGATACTATAATGATAGATATGTACCATTATACATTTGTCCAAATCCATGAACGTACAACACCAAGAGTGAGCCCTAAGGTAAATTATGGACTTTGGGTGATAATGATGTGTCAATGTAGGTAGGTAACAAATGTCCACTTTGGGGGGGGGATGTTGATAATGGGGGATAGTATGCATATGCTGGGGCAGGGTATATATGGGAAATCTCTGTACATTCCTCTCAATTCTGCTGTGAATCTAAAACTGCTTTTAAAAGATAGTCTTTAAAGAATAAGTTTAAAAAGACACCTAAGCTACTTTATAAGATCACATCTCTCGTAGACTAAGTAATAATGTTCCAAGATACATAAAAGAATCTGTAAATGAAATCCCTAAATCACTGCCAGGACCGCAAGACTGGAGACTGTTTTCAAAAATAATATCGTAAATTCTACAAACATTTTTGGTAAGGTTAATGTTAATTTCAGATAACATTTTAAAATAACTTTGATATGTGAATACCTAGAAGAGGATATAGTGACCTCTAGGACTAGGATAGATGGAGTTAAAAATAAGACATGTGTTACAGACTAATTTTGTTTCTTTATTTGATGTATTTAGCCGAGTCGGAGATCAAGAAAATACACCTGATGTCTGTAAAGAATTTTAGAATGACTCTCATGATTTTCTTGACAGTAAAATTAAAAAATATAAGGTAGTTCAGTTAGCTAAATCAGCAACACTAGTTCATACTACTTAACGGAATGAGGTCTACCTGGAGGAAGGCTTCTAGAGTAAAGCTGTAAGGCCAAAATGAAGATACTTGGGCATGCCCTTCACCTCTACAGATGACATGAAGCTTCCAAAGACAGCAAAATCATTGGTTAACAAATGAAGCATCCAAAAGACCTGATATTTAACAAGAAGAAATTTAAGAGGGATAAATATTAAGATTCCAAAGTGGATTTCAAAACAACTACATAAGAATAGCTTAAGAGAGAAAAGACTCAACTGTAGGATGTGTTTAAAGGGCTCAGAGATTTTAATTGCACTATTATTTTAGTATACTAAGCTTAGGTAGGCTTAAGTTGCAATAATAAAACTATAATATGCAGAACTAGAGGAGATATTCTCACTTTGTTTTGCAAATGTCACACCACATCTGGAGTACAGATTCTTAAAAGGGAGCAGAACAAAGTATAACATGATGAAGAGGGGAAATTCAAATCATGTCTTATGGGTAACGGAACTGAGGATGTTGAGTATGAAGAGAAGGAAATCTGAGAGGGTTATTATGTGAAAAACCTAAAAGTTATTCAATAATAATAATAATAATAATATAATAATGTAGGGCTGCTTTGAGGACTAAATAAGTTTATACAAATAAAGTGTTTAGAATAGCATTTATCAACAAGTTATTATATTACTAGTGAATTTCTAAAGTGTCTACTTAAGAGGTATTCTGCTTTCTGTGTTGCACCATCTCTCACTACCAAGTAAGAAATCCACCCTGGGGGCAACTGGGTGGCTCAGTGGTTAAAGCCTCTGCCTCCGGCTCGGGTCATGTCTCAGGATCATGGGATCGAGCCCCGCATCAGGCTCTCTGCTCAGCATGGAGCCTGCTTCCCCCTTTCTCTCTGCCTGCCTCCCTGCCTACTTGTAATCTCTGTCTGTCAAATAAATAAATAAAATCTTAGGAAAAAAAAAAAAAAAGAAATCCATCCTGTACCACTGACATCCTAAGCCCCCCAAACTAATGCAGATTCGTTGATTTTTAAATCAAGTTAATGAGTTATTGATTTGTTTTACATAAATATGAATCATATAGTGAAAGATCCTTATATTAAACTAAGTTTTGTTTATTCAAGTCTGATAAATTACCATTAACATATGATATAAAGGCACAATACAATACTGATTTGTAAAAATACACACACATAAATGTACACACAAAACATACACACCTATGTGTGTTTATGTGTGTATATGTATATCTCAAATATCCATATATGCAGGACAGTATGATTTTAAGAGACTGGGCTTAGGAATCAGAGTCCTAGGGTTACAACATTGTCTTTACTATTTATACTAGCTATGTGACCTTGGGAAAAGTACTTGATCTTAAAGACTCAGTTTTCTCATGGAGTGCCTGGGGGGCTGAGTGGGTTAAGCCTCTGTCTTTGGCTCAGATCATGATCTCAGGGTCCTGGGATCGAGCCCCACATCGGGCTCTCTGCTCAGCAGGGAGCCTGCTTCCCCTTCTCTCTGCCTGCCTCTCTGCCTACTTTTGATTTCTCTCTCTGTCAAATAAATAAATAAAATCTTAAAAAAAAAAGTCTCAGTTTTCTCATCTGTAAAACACAGACAAAACAGTACACATAACTCAATAGCTGTTAGAGGCTGTTTACTATTATATCATCATCCTCAAAAAGGCTTGGTTTTTTGCCAGCTACCACATGTGACTTCCTTTCATGGTTACTAAAAAAGAAATGAAGCTTACTTACAAGCGAACTAACATAATCAAAGCCTGGCTAGTTTGACCAGAAAAGATACGACAAGCCACTTTTATATTTTGATAGTTTACTAGTTATAGACAATGAAAA